TATTATTTATTCAAAATATCATTTAATTTTGGATTAACTATTTTATATTAGCGTTTAAGTTTTAGGTTTTAAGGTTTGTTAGAAGTCAAAACTTTTTTTAATAATTAGAGTTTTATGGTTTGTGGTTTAAATTTTTTGTAATAAATGATATTTTTTTAAATGAACAATGTCTCGTGGTATTTTTGAAAAATGAAATACCAAATATCTTTTTAAAAAAATCCCCATTTTACTATGCATTCTATAATATTGTTGTTATTGAAAAAATTCACAATTATTATTTTCAAATTATAAAAAACATGTCACTAATAATAAAATCTGCAGCAAATGAATAATTTTTTATTCCTTATTTACATATATTAAAGAATTAAATAGTTCCGTACTAAAATGGAGCAAAAATTTTAAAATAATGGATATGAAATTTAATTTTTGCAATATAGCAGATAAATAAGGAATAAATATAGGAGATAAATATTTTTTGGTTAAGAAATCAAAGTCTTCTAATGTGTGAGCGGAAACGAGTTAGTCATGATTCTTCGACGACAAAGTTGACAGTCCAAGATACACCTGGTGGGACCCAAATCTATGGAACTTTGTGTTTTTGTTTCACCCGAGATAAACAGTTCACTTCTTAAATGTAAGTAATGATGTTAGGTATACGTTATTAGTATTACATAGCATGATACATTGTGCAATCCGCCTATATATGTAACCGTAAAAAATAACCTTATTAACTTCACACAAAACAAAAAGTTATAGTGAGAAAACGCCTATGTTTATTCTATTTTTTGATAAATTGTGTGCTAGTAATGATCCTTTCCTTTATAAAATTAATTATCCAAATTATACTCCATTTATTGTTTCATTATGCACCTTTTTATTATGCTATGAATATTTATAATGCGATTATGATACAAAAAATTGTGCAACAAGTTGTGTTGGTGGAATGCGGTCACTTGGAGCATAACACAATTCAAAAATGGCAATTCCTGGCGGATCACATGGAACGACAAAGAAAGATGAGGATTCGACGAGGGTAATGACTTAGAAACAATATAAGACATGCTGAAATAGGAATACAACCTAACCAATGGATGTGCTCATGGTCTTTCAGTGGATAATTTAGCCAAGGATATGGTCTCAAATGTCGGTGATTGTGTATTTGTTGGAGATTCATCCTTAGAACCTGATACAGAGGAGATGCTATGTTGTATGTGTGTGGAAATGTTGTTCCACACCCTTGGAATAAAAGAGTGTATGACTTTTTACCTCAAAATGGGATAACATCAAGTGAAAGTTCCACCGCAAACATAGTAAGATTCGTATCTCGCAAATGGATAAAGAAGGAATGAACCTAAGTAATAATTGATGGATCGTCGGTTAGTACGTATATACAAATTAGAAAACCATATGACTTGGTTCGTATCAATATAATGATCGAGAACAAGTTATGATCAAGTTTAGATAGAGAAACAAATTAATAAAAATTAGACATATCAAATAGTATAGAAAT